AATCAACTACAAAGTCTGAAACAACTACAAAATCTCATTCTACCAAATAGATTCTTGGGTCATTCAACTACTTTCTGGTAGTACAATTAATACAATATTTAAATTTAATAGGAAAATTTTTGTATTACAGAGTGTAGTTAAAAAGTAATTAATGCTAATAGGTTTTGAATTGTAATAAACAAACAAAGCGCATAGCGCGATGCTTAAACAATGAGCGCAAAGCGCGTATCAATATCGAACCGCGAAGCGGGACAAAGGTCTTTCGCGCGCCCCGGGGCGCGCTCAAACTAGCGGGCGAAGCGAGCCCCTATGCGCGAAGCGCGTGATGAGAATGTGGCCGCCCCCGCAGGGGGCTGCCGGATTTTTTTCTACACTTTTAAGTGTATTTTGTGCAAGAAAATGCAATAAAATAGTCTGCCTAAGAAAAATTGAATTTTTTTGAAAATTTTTTTTTTCACGAAAATCGCTTTAATGGTCATAAAATTGGTGTTCCTCTACTCGGATCGGGCTGTCAATTTTTTTCTACACTTTTAAGTGTATTTTGTGCAAGAAATTGCAATAAAATAGTCTGCCTAAGAAAAATTGAATTTTTTTGAAAATTTTTTTTTTTCAAAAATCGCTTTAATGGTCATAAAATTGGTGTTCCTCCACTCGGATCAGGCTGTCAATTTTTTTCTACACTTTTAAGTGTATTTTGTGCAAGAAATTGCAATAAAATAGTCTGCCTAAGAAAAATTCAATTTTTTTGAAAATTTTTTTTTTCACGAAAATCGCTTTAATGGTCATAAAATTGGTGTTCCTCTACTCGGATCGGGCTGTCAATTTTTTTCTACACTTTTAAGTGTATTTTGTGCAAGAAATTGCAATAAAATAGTCTGCCTAAGAAAAATTGAATTTTTTTGAAAATTTTTTTTTTCGAAAATCGCTTTAATGGTCATAAAATAGGTGTTCCTCTACTCGGATCAGGCTGTCAATTTTTTTCTACACTTTTAGGTGTATTTTGTGCAAGAAATTGCAATAAAATTGTCTGCCTAAGAAAAATTCAATTTTTTTGAAAATTTTTTTTTTCACGAAAATCGCTTTAATGGTCATAAAATTGGTGTTCCTCTACTCGGATCGGGCTGTCAATTTTTTCTTCACTTTTAAGTGTATTTTGTGCAAGAAATTGCAATAAAATAGTCTGCCTAAGAAAAATTGAAATTTTTTCAAAATTTTTTTTTACGAAAATCGATTTAATGGTCATAAAATTGGTGTTCCTCTACTCAGATCGGGCTGTCAATTTTTTTCTACACTTTTAGGTGTATTTTGTGCAAGAAAATGCAATAAAATTGTCTGCCTAAGAAAAATTGAATTTTTAAAAAAATTTTTTTTTTTCGAAAATCGCTTTAATGGTCATAAAATTGGTGTTCCTCCACTCGGATCGGGCTGTCAATTTTTTTCTACACTTTTATGTGTATTTTGTGCAAGAAAATGCAATAAAATAGTCTGCCTAAGAAAAATTGAATTTTTTTGAAAAATTTTTTTTTTGAATTCGCTTTAATGGTCATAAAATAGGTGTTCCTCTACTCGGATCAGGCTGTCAATTTTTTTCTACACTTTTAAGTGTATTTTGTGCAAGAAAATGCAATAAAATAGTCTGCCTAAGAAAAATTGAATTTTTTTGAAAATTTTTTTTTTCGAAAATCGCTTTAATGGTCATAAAATAGGTGTTCCTCTACTCGGATCAGGCTGTCAATTTTTTTCTACACTTTTAGGAGTATTTTGTGCAAGAAATTGCAATAAAATTGTCTGCCTAAGAAAAATTCAATTTTTTTGAAAATTTTTTTTTCACGAAAATCGCTTTAATGGTCATAAAATTAGTGTTCCTCTACTCGGATCGGGCTGTCAATTTTTTTCTACACTTTTAAGTGTATTTTGTGCAAGAAATTGCAATAAAATAGTCTGCCTAAGAAAAATTGAATTTTTTTGAAAATTTTTTTTTTCGGAAATCGCTTTAATGGTCATAAAATAGGTGTTCCTCTACTCGGATCAGGCTGTCAATTTTTTTCTACACTTTTAAGTGTATTTTGTGCAAGAAAATGCAATAAAATAGTCTGCCTAAGAAAAATTGACTTTTTTTGAAAATTTTTTTTTCACGAAAATCGCTTTAATGGTCATAAAATTGGTGTTCCTCTACTCGGATCGGGCTGTCAATTTTTTTCTACACTTTTAAGTGTATTTTGTGCAAAAAATGCAATAAAATAGTCTGCCTAAGAAAAATTGAATTTTTTTGAAAACTTTTTTTTTTCGAAAATCGCTTTAATGGTCATAAAATTGGTGTTCCTCCACTCGGATCGGGCTGTCAATTTTTTTCTACACTTTTATGTGTATTTTGTGCAAGAAAATGCAATAAAATAGTCTGCGTAAGAAAAATTGAATTTTTTTGAAAATTTTTTTTTTCGAAAATCGCTTTAATGGTCATAAAGTAGGTGTTCCTCCACTCTGATCAGGCTGTCAATTTTTTTCTACACTTTTAAGTATATTTTGTGCAAGAAAATGCAATAAAATAGTCTGCCTAAGAAAAATTGAATTTTTTTGAAAAATTTTTTTTTTGAATTCGCTTTAATGGTCATAAAATAGGTGTTCCTCTACTCGGATCAGGCTGTCAATTTTTTTCTACACTTTTAAGTGTATTTTGTGCAAGAAAATGCAATAAAATAGTCTGCCTAAGAAAAATTGAATTTTTTTGAAAATTTTTTTTTTCGAAAATCGCTTTAATGGTCATAAAATAGGTGTTCCTCTACTCGGATCAGGCTGTCAATTTTTTTCTACACTTTTAGGAGTATTTTGTGCAAGAAATTGCAATAAAATTGTCTGCCTAAGAAAAATTCAATTTTTTTGAAAATTTTTTTTTCACGAAAATCGCTTTAATGGTCATAAAATTAGTGTTCCTCTACTCGGATCGGGCTGTCAATTTTTTTCTACACTTTTAAGTGTATTTTGTGCAAGAAATTGCAATAAAATAGTCTGCCTAAGAAAAATTGAATTTTTTTGAAAATTTTTTTTTTCGGAAATCGCTTTAATGGTCATAAAATAGGTGTTCCTCTACTCGGATCAGGCTGTCAATTTTTTCTACACTTTTAAGTGTATTTTGTGCAAGAAAATGCAATAAAATAGTCTGCCTAAGAAAAATTGAATTTTTTTGAAAATTTTTTTTTCACGAAAATCGCTTTAATGGTCATAAAATTGGTGTTCCTCTACTCGGATCGGGCTGTCAATTTTTTTCTACACTTTTAAGTGTATTTTGTGCAAAAAATGCAATAAAATAGTCTGCCTAAGAAAAATTGAATTTTTTTGAAAACTTTTTTTTTTCGAAAATCGCTTTAATGGTCATAAAATTGGTGTTCCTCCACTCGGATCGGGCTGTCAATTTTTTTCTACACTTTTATGTGTATTTTGTGCAAGAAAATGCAATAAAATAGTCTGCGTAAGAAAAATTGAATTTTTTTGAAAATTTTTTTTTTCGAAAATCGCTTTAATGGTCATAAAGTAGGTGTTCCTCCACTCTGATCAGGCTGTCAATTTTTTTCTACACTTTTAAGTATATTTTGTGCAAGAAAATGCAATAAAATAGTCTGCCTAAGAAAAATTGAATTTTTTTGAAAAATTTTTTTTTTGAATTCGCTTTAATGGTCATAAAATAGGTGTTCCTCTACTCGGATCAGGCTGTCAATTTTTTTCTACACTTTTAGGAGTATTTTGTGCAAGAAATTGCAATAAAATTGTCTGCCTAAGAAAAATTCAATTTTTTTTGAAAATTTTTTTTTCACGAAAATCGCTTTAATGGTCATAAAATTGGTGTTCCTCTACTCGGATCGGGCTGTCAATTTTTTTCTACACTTTTAAGTGTATTTTGTGCAAGAAAATGCAATAAAATAGTCTGCCTAAGAAAAATTGAATTTTTTTGAAAATTTTTTTTTTCGAAAATCGCTTTAATGGTCATAAAATTGGTGTTCCTCCACTCGGATCAGGCTGTCAATTTTTTTCTACACTTTTAAGTGTATTTTGTGCAAGAAATTGCAATAAAATAGTCTGCCTAAGAAAAATTGAATTTTTTTGAAAATTTTTTTTTTCGAAAATCGCTTTACCCAGGTGCGAATTTCGGTCGGCCGCCAGAGTTGGTTCGTCGGCCCATGGTCGGCCCAACTCTGGCTGCCGACCGGTCGGCAGCCAGAGTTGGGCCGACCATGGTAAATATTTGCACCCAAAGTTGGGCCGACTATGGCTGCCGACGTCGGCAGTCACAGTTGGGCCGACCATTGCAGCCATAGTTGGGCCGACTATGGGGGATTATGGTCGGCACAACCTTGGCAGCCATAGTTGGGCCAACCTTGGCTGCCATAGTTGGGCCGACCAGGGGGGGTAATGGTCGGTCCAACTATGGCAGCCACAGTTGGGCCAACCATGGCTGCCATAGTTGGGCCGACCATGGGGGTAATGGTCGGCACAACCTTGGCAGCCATGGTTGGCCCAACTGTGGCTGCCATAGTTGGGCCGACCATTCTTCCCCATAGTCGGTCCAACTATGGCAGCCACAGTTGGGCCGACTAAGGGGAAAATGGTTGGCACAACCTTGGCAGCCATAGTTGGGCCAACCTTGGCTGCCATAGTTGGGCCGACCATGGGGGACAATGGTCGGTACGACCTTGGCAGCCAAGGTCGGTCCAACCTTGGCTGCCATAGTTGGGCCGACCATTCTTCCCCATAGTCGGCCAAACTATGGCAGCCACAGTTGGGCCGACTAGGGGGAGAATGGTCGGCATGACTTTGAAAACCGCAGTTGGGCCGACTACGGGGAATGTAGTCAGCATGACTGGCAGCCGAGTATATCGATGGTCGGTATATCAAGGATTACAGAATTATTTTTCTCAAAAGAAACACGATTGTTGTCGTGTTGTGCTAAACAACAATAAATTTTCTTGCGAGATATTATTTGCTTACAAGTGGAATGTCAAAAGTTAAGTTCGATTGATTTATAAAATGATTAAAGCGAAATCGAATTATGAGAGGATACAAAAATATAGATTTCTATCTAAATGTGAAAAGAGGAGAAACAATGAAATTTGCGAATCCGTTGATTTATCAAATCAACATGAAGATAAGACTTTATTACCGTCTTGTGAAGAAACGGCAATTAATTGCAAGTATGTATAACTATTAGGTTTTTTATAACGCAATATATGTTTAGATAAATTTGGTAATTTTTGTACAAAAAGAATAAGTTTAATTTTAAGGTTATGCCACAAAAATGTTTTGCCATTGATATAATATACTTCATAAAAATGCAATTTTTATTGCTATTAAATGTTATGTTATGTTACCTTACAATATTTTTTAAATTTCAATTTTGTATATCACTAATATTTATTCTAATAAGCCTTGATAAAAATGTAAATAATAGCGATTTTAACAATTTTTTATTTTGATAATGTTTTCAATCATCAAAATTGTATGTGTTTAATTATTTTAGATTACCTGATGAATGTCGAATGGAAGTGTCTTATTCTGAATCATTTAATATTGATGAAGATTTAATGAAAAATAAATCGGAAACATTTTCTGAATGTTTAACTGAAAATTTTCAAAATGCAACAGAAAATAATTCGGAACCGATTGCGATTGACGAAACTGAACTTGATCAATTTATTAATAAAAATCCTGTTTTGATAGACAGGAAACCAAATTTTCGAGACAAAATTGCAACATGGGCAACGAAAAACATTAAACATATTCCACATGTTGCTCTTGAGGAACTTTTAAAAATATTACGATCGGAAGGTCATTGGGAACTTCCTAAATGTGCCGAGACATTGCTACAAACGCAACGAACAAATGGTAGTGTACAAAAAATGTTGTATATAGTTTGAGATTGGGACTGATGAAAATTCTTGTTTAAATAATTTTTTTATTTTACTTTTTTATTTTTTTATTCAATATGTATATTATTTTGCTTTTTTATGAAAAAAATAGTTATATTGGATAAAAAAAGTTTATGTCTAAAAAATGGGAAAAAAAGAGAAAACAAATTGTTTAATTAAGAATTTTTATTAGACCCACTCTCAAACTATATGCAAACTATTTTTATCATTCCCAGCTAGGAAATAAAGAAAAGAAATTTAAAAAATGACCAAATTGAAAAACAATGAATTTGTTCACAAAAAATTATGATTTTTTTATTAAAAGTTAAAAAAAATTTTTTTTGTTAATTTTATCCAAAAGTCGAAGAAAAACTAAACTTTTTTCCTTTTGGCGAAATTACTCTACAGTCAACACTTTTCAAGTCTTTCAAAAAATCAAATTTTCAAAAAATCATAACTCGAAAATTTGTCCACCAAAAAAAAAAAAAAATTATGTACAAAAATGCGTATATTTTTTTTCCCTAAAAATACAATTTTAAAAAATATGTTTTCTTGTACAGAAAATACAAAAAGATTGTATGGATTTTTTTTTGTTTAAAATTTATAAGTATTTATTATAAATTAAAAACTAAAAACAATTTTTTCAGAAATTTTAAATGTTATTTTAACTCAACTCGCTTTAAATTATAAAACTTAAAAATAAATTTTCATACATTAATAATAATAAATTGTTAATAAATCTTCAAAAATTTATTAGTTTTAAAAATAAATAAAAATAAATGTAATAATTGCAGATGTTTTACTGGACTCGGACATGGAAGCTTCTGAAGACCAAATTTCGAGTGATTTAAGTACTTGGTTGTCTAATGTGAAGGACCGAGAAGGAGGGCGAAAAGGAAGAAATTCATCAGTGGCGAATCCTCAAGTGTAATAAAGTTTGGAGAAATGTGTTAAGTTATTTTTTTCCAAGAACTTTTCAACCAACTTTATTATTATTTTTTTATTATTATTATATTGTACTGAAGCCATTTTTAATTATTAAAATATAAATACATAACAATTTACACGCAAAATTTATTTCCAATTGACTTTTTTTTTACCGCATGTATCAATAATAATAGAATAAACTATCAATTAGTAAAAGCTCAAAGTATCTAAAATAAAAATTTATTTAATTGTTACATAATTTTTATTTATTTTGAAATTAAAAGTTTTATATAAATAATTTTCTTATCTAAATTGTTTTATTTTTAGATTAATTTTTTTTTCATTATTATAATTAACATTTTATTTTTATTTCAATTTTCTGAAGAGACAGTCGGCCCGTCCAAGGCCCATAGTTGGGCCGACCATCATAAAGTAAATTTCTCTCCTACCATTGACAAATGTAAAATGTTTTTGTTAATTTACTTGTAATTGATTAATTTAAAAAGAAAAAAGGTTATATGTGATTAATTTATTATTTTGAATTACTAACTTTAATTTTTTTCAAGCTGTAGCTTATAACATTTATTTTTCTCCGTGACTCATATGTCATTGCGTAGTGTAGTGGTTAGCGTATTAGACTGCGGTGCGTTAGGTTGCGAGTTCGATCCCTGCGAGCGTTAAAAATTTTAATTTGTATATATGTATGTTTACGATTGCGTTTAGTGTTTAAGTATATAAAATAAATGTATAATGAATTTAAAATGATTACTAATATATGTTATTTGTATAACAAATTTTTATATTTTAATGTTTATGGTCGGCAAAATTTTAGCTGCCAAGGTTGGCCCAACCATGGCAGCCATAGTCGGGCCGACTATGGCTGCCGACCGTCAAGTTGGATGGTCGGCAGCCAAGGTCGGCCCAACTATGGTACCCATAGTTGGCCCGACTTAGTCGACCATAGGTCGGCCGACGTTATCAATTCGCTAGTTGGCCCGACCATCGGCAGCCATAGTCGGGCCGACCAAGGCTGCCATAGTTGGGCCGACTATCATAGCCGACGGTCGGCAGCCATAGTCGGGCCGACCATGGCAGCCATAGTTGGGCCGACCTCGGCTGCCTTAGTCGGGCCGACTATGGCTGCCGACCGTCAAGTTGGATGGTCGGCAGCCAAGGTTGGCCCAACTATGGCTGCCATGGTCGGCCCGACTATGGCTGCCGACCGTCGGCAAGGATGGTCGGCCCAACTAGGGCAGCCTTGGTCGGCCCGACTATGGTACCCATAGTCGGTCCAACTTAGTCGACCATAGGTCGGCCGACGTTATCAATTCGCTAGTTGGCCCGACCTCTGGCTGCCCGAGGTGGGCCGACCATGCACATGGTCGGCCCGACCATGGGCCGACCGACAATTCGCACCTGGGTAATGGTCATAAAATAGGTGTTCCTCTACTCGGATCAGGCTGTCAATTTTTTTCTACACTTTTAGGTGTATTTTGTGCAAGAAATTGCAATAAAATTGTCTGCCTAAGAAAAATTCAATTTTTTTGAAAATTTTTTTTTCACGAAAATCGCTTTAATGGTCATAAAATTGGTGTTCCTCTACTCGGATCGGGCTGTCAATTTTTTTCTACACTTTTAAGTGTATTTTGTGCAAGAAAATGCAATAAAATAGTCTGCCTAAGAAAAATTGAATTTTTTTGAAAATTTTTTTTTTCGGAAATCGCTTTAATGGTCATAAAATTGGTGTTCCTCTACTCGGATCGGGCTGTCAATTTTTTCCTACACTTTTAGGAGTATTTTGTGCAAGAAATTGCAATAAAATTGCCTGCCTAAGAAAAATTGAATTTTTTTGAAAATTTTTTTTTTCGAAAATCGCTTTAATGGTCATAAAGTAGGTGTTCCTCCACTCGGATCAGGCTGTCAATTTTTTTCTACACTTTTAGGAGTATTTTGTGCAAAAAATTGCAATAAAATAGTCTGCCTAAGAAAAATTGAATTTTTTTGAAAATTTTTTTTTTCGAAAATCGCTTTAATGGTCATAAAATAGGTGTTCCTCTACTCGGATCAGGCTGTCAATTTTTTTCTACACTTTTAGGAGTATTTTGTGCAAGAAATTGCAATAAAATTGTCTGCCTAAGAAAAATTCAATTTTTTTGAAAATTTTTTTTTCACGAAAATCGCTTTAATGGTCATAAAATTAGTGTTCCTCTACTCGGATCGGGCTGTCAATTTTTTTCTACACTTTTAAGTGTATTTTGTGCAAGAAATTGCAATAAAATAGTCTGCCTAAGAAAAATTGAATTTTTTTGAAAATTTTTTTTTTCGGAAATCGCTTTAATGGTCATAAAATAGGTGTTCCTCTACTCGGATCAGGCTGTCAATTTTTTCTACACTTTTAAGTGTATTTTGTGCAAGAAAATGCAATAAAATAGTCTGCCTAAGAAAAATTGAATTTTTTTGAAAATTTTTTTTTCACGAAAATCGCTTTAATGGTCATAAAATTAGTGTTCCTCTACTCGGATCGGGCTGTCAATTTTTTTCTACACTTTTAAGTGTATTTTGTGCAAGAAATTGCAATAAAATAGTCTGCCTAAGAAAAATTGAATTTTTTTGAAAAATTTTTTTTTTGAATTCGCTTTAATGGTCATAAAATAGGTGTTCCTCTACTCGGATCAGGCTGTCAATTTTTTTCTACACTTTTAGGAGTATTTTGTGCAAGAAATTGCAATAAAATTGTCTGCCTAAGAAAAATTCAATTTTTTTGAAAATTTTTTTTTCACGAAAATCGCTTTAATGGTCATAAAATTGGTGTTCCTCTACTCGGATCGGGCTGTCAATTTTTTTCTACACTTTTAAGTGTATTTTGTGCAAGAAAATGCAATAAAATAGTCTGCCTAAGAAAAATTGAATTTTTTTGAAAATTTTTTTTTTTCGAAAATCGCTTTAATGGTCATAAAATTGGTGTTCCTCCACTCGGATCAGGCTGTCAATTTTTTTCTACACTTTTAAGTGTATTTTGTGCAAGAAATTGCAATAAAATAGTCTGCCTAAGAAAAATTGAATTTTTTTGAAAATTTTTTTTTTCGAAAATCGCTTTAATGGTCATAAAATAGGTGTTCCTCTACTCGGATCAGGCTGTCAATTTTTTTCTACACTTTTAGGTGTATTTTGTGCAAGAAATTGCAATAAAATTGTCTGCCTAAGAAAAATTCAATTTTTTTGAAAATTTTTTTTTCACGAAAATCGCTTTAATGGTCATAAAATTGGTGTTCCTCTACTCGGATCGGGCTGTCAATTTTTTTCTACACTTTTAAGTGTATTTTGTACAAGAAAATGCAATAAAATAGTCTGCCTAAGAAAAATTGAAATTTTTTAAAAAATTTTTTTTACGAAAATCTTTTTAATGGTCATAAAATTGGTGTTCCTCTACTCGAATCGGGCTGTCAATTTTTTTCTACACTTTTAAGTGTATTTTGTGCAAGAAAATGCAATAAAATAGTCTGCCTAAGAAAAATTGAATTTTTTTGAAAATTTTTTTTTTCGAAAATCGCTTTAATGGTCATAAAATAGGTGTTCCTCTACTCGGATCAGGCTGTCAATTTTTTTCTACACTTTTAGGAGTATTTTGTGCAAAAAATTGCAATAAAATAGTCTGCCTAAGAAAAATTGAATTTTTTTGAAAATTTTTTTTTTCGGAAATCGCTTTAATGGTCATAAAACAGGTGTTCCTCTACTCGGATCAGGCTGTCAATTTTTTTCTACACTTTTAAGTGTATTTTGTGCAAGAAAATGCAATAAAATAGTCTGCCTAAGAAAAATTGAATTTTTTTGAAAATTTTTTTTTTTCGAAAATCGCTTTAATGGTCATAAAATTGGTGTTCCTCCACTCGGATCGGGCTGTCAATTTTTTTCTACACTTTTAAGTGTATTTTGTGCAAGAAAATGCAATAAAATAGTCTGCGTAAGAAAAATTGAATTTTTTTGAAAATTTTTTTTTTCGAAAATCGCTTTAATGGTCATAAAATTGGTGTTCCTCTACTCGAATCGGGCTGTCAATTTTTTTCTACACTTTTAAGTGTATTTTGTGCAAGAAAATGCAATAAAATAGTCTGCCTAAGAAAAATTGAATTTTTTTGAAAATTTTTTTTTTCGAAAATCGCTTTAATGGTCATAAAATAGGTGTTCCTCTACTCGGATCAGGCTGTCAATTTTTTTCTACACTTTTAGGAGTATTTTGTGCAAAAAATTGCAATAAAATAGTCTGCCTAAGAAAAATTGAATTTTTTTGAAAATTTTTTTTTTCGGAAATCGCTTTAATGGTCATAAAACAGGTGTTCCTCTACTCGGATCAGGCTGTCAATTTTTTTCTACACTTTTAAGTGTATTTTGTGCAAGAAAATGCAATAAAATAGTCTGCCTAAGAAAAATTGAATTTTTTTGAAAATTTTTTTTTTTCGAAAATCGCTTTAATGGTCATAAAATTGGTGTTCCTCCACTCGGATCGGGCTGTCAATTTTTTTCTACACTTTTAAGTGTATTTTGTGCAAGAAAATGCAATAAAATAGTCTGCGTAAGAAAAATTGAATTTTTTTGAAAATTTTTTTTTTCGAAAATCGCTTTAATGGTCATAAAGTAGGTGTTCCTCCACTCGGATCAGGCTGTCAATTTTTTTCTACACTTTTAAGTGTATTTTGTGCAAGAAATTGCAATAAAATAGTCTGCCTAAGAAAAATTGAATTTTTTTGAAAATTTTTTTTTTTCGGAAATCGCTTTAATGGTCATAAAATTGGTGTTCCTCTACTCGGATCGGGCTGTCAATTTTTTTCTACACTTTTAAGTGTATTTTGTGCAAGAAAATGCAATAAAATAGTCTGCCTAAGAAAAATTGAATTTTTTTGAAAATTTTTTTTTTTCGAAAATCGCTTTAATGGTCATAAAATTGGTGTTCCTCCACTCGGATCAGGCTGTCAATTTTTTTCTACACTTTTAAGTGTATTTTGTGCAAGAAATTGCAATAAAATAGTCTGCCTAAGAAAAATTGAATTTTTTTGAAAATTTTTTTTTTCGAAAATCGCTTTAATGGTCATAAAATAGGTGTTCCTCTACTCGGATCAGGCTGTCAATTTTTTTCTACACTTTTAGGTGTATTTTGTGCAAGAAATTGCAATAAAATTGTCTGCCTAAGAAAAATTCAATTTTTTTGAAAATTT